GAACACGCAATTTTTTCTCCTGTTATTCTTTGCTGTATGAAGCATTATGTTATTATGGAGAACGTTTTTCCTATTAACAAGCGCAGATCCCTTTTCAATCAAACTTTTAGACACATTCCAGCTGTTGGATGTATAAATGTGCATTTAATGAAATCTCTAACCGTTCTTAGTACACATTGGGGATTTATCCATGTCACTTCATTGCCTTTTACATTAGACATTGTCATGTTACCTATTTTTCAACTGTGATAATATTTAAAGAGCAGTTTGTTAGGATGATACATTTGTCATTACATATGGTTCCCAAAAATGGAATTCAGCCTATTTTTATGGGTGGTCATCTTTACTGTCTTGCCCCCCACCTTAGCTATCTATGCTAGTTTGTATATATACAAGCAGCAATTATACACCACTGACAGCTTGATTCAAAAATCGTACGACTCATACAGCAATCGCTATCACTTGACTTAAAATATTTTGGCCCTTCCTTGCCTTTAAAGGAGTGCCCTTTGCCGTGCTGATGTTGCTACATGTCTTACTTCTTGCCTATCTCACACTGAGAATTTTTTCTAAGTTCTATACTAAACATTAAATCTGTTACGAAAAAAGAACTAAACAAAATGAACACAAAACCATCAGCTTTAAAAAAAAGGACTCGTAACTGGAAAAACCGAATGAAAGAAGAATGTTAACAACAAATATTTTTTTTTAAGGCAATCTCAAACATGTATCAAAATCATTGGGTTCGATGAAGTTACATTTTCTAGTCATTGATTTCACTTATGTTTATCGCCACCTCTGCCTACTCCCTGAAAAACTTTTTTTCAATTTAGGTTGTTAAAAAAAAAGGGCAGTTTTGCCCTTCTTGCTTGAATGGAAGATATATATACATATACATATATACTAACAACTTCAGCCCTACACATTGATACCTCAGAGCTTTTATAAAAAAAAAAAAAAATGCAAACTTATCCATTAACCTGAAAAGTTTGATTAGACAATGCGTCTAACTACTGGCCAAGTATGAAGTGATAGCGAACTAAGTCAGCTAATACCAAATTTTTTCTTCATTAGGTGTCTCATACTTTTGGGAGTACGAGTACAATCCTGACATTACTCACCTTATTTGCTCTTGCCAATGGGCTTCACATTTTAGGCCACTTTTTTCTTTTGCCTTTCATAGTTCATTCATTGCTACAGATCAACACACCTTTGTGTATAGGCATACTTAGGAATTTCCCAATTCCACTAACGATTGAGTCATAGTTATCTGCTATGCCAGTCATACTCAATGTTATAAGCATCTGCAGCCCTAACTGAATGTGAATATGATGTAGTGGTTAATGATTCAGGAGAAATTGGCAAGCCAAGTTCAAACTCTGGAAGAGTTTTACATTCACTTTTATATAAATATCTTTCAAATCTAATTACCTGCTTTGAGATGGCAACTAATCCAAGAAAATCTCAATACAAAACCAGCTTAAAGGAGGATGAGCTTCATCAGGCCATAGACACAGCACTGCTGTTATGGCTGCACTACATGTGGCACCCTTATCACCCCAGATAAGTTAATAGACTCACAACATAACATCCAGAGCTAGAGGGCTGGACTTAAGTGTTATTTGAAGAGTGAAGTTGGTGCACAATTGATAGATTTCTACAAAATTGAGATTTTGAATATGTAAGAGCAAGCAAAATTGCCAGCTTCCTACAATAAAATATCTTTTTATTACATGCTTATGATAAGACAATAAAAATCAATTACTGTGTGTGTGTGTTGCGCCTGTTGGGAGATAAGATTAATGAAAGAAAACGTTCATGTAAATGTGTTTCATTGCAGCAATCAAGTAGTGTCCTGTGACACGCTTCCCAATATGGACCTGAGTGCATGGGGGAAATGCCAACAGAATAGCTGGGGCCAGTGGACTCCCTGGAGCAGATGTATTGGCGGTCAGCAAGTATCCCGACGACAATGTCTTGGTGCACTTCCACCCCGTGGTTGTAAATGTGAAGGCTCAAGTGTTCGATTCAAGCAATGTTTTGGTCGGCGTTGCAGACGGCCCATCAGATTCAACCACCAAACATTTTGGGTGTGGTCACGCTGCTGACACAGATCATAAATATTCAAGAAAATATCCGAGATATCAATCTCCTAGTGTGTTGATAAAGATATTTTTTAACCTTGTAAACATTTTCAATTCTTAAATAATAGAAGAAAAAAAAAAAGAAAAAGTAAATAAATTGAAAGGCATTAAGTAAAAGGTTTGGTTACTAGTACATATTTCATCCATGATGGTTATCACTGACACACCATATAAATCACTACTGAATATTTGCCATACTTGTGTATAAAAAAAAAAAAATTGTCAGATTTTTCAATATCTTTGCTTTATTCCACAGAATCTATTTCATTTCACTTTCTATCAAGTAATTAATTTCAAATACCTCCGCCTGCAGATCAGTTATAAAATTTAATATAGGGAATAAATTGAACACACAAGTTGTGCAAGGGGTATTTTGTCAACACCATGAGATGCTAAGCTTCAAGCTAAAGTTATGTTCTTTAATAACCTTGTTAGGTCAAGTGACATGGACATCATGTTCATAAAAGTCTATATTAGAAATGCCTTCAAGCAAATAAATCCCTTAGATCTTAAGAACCCTTCATCAAATACCAGAGACTTAATACAAAATAAAGAGCTTTATCAAATATAAATCACATTACGTTTAAGAGCAGCAATTAAAATAGATTGTGCATACGACAAGCAGGAAAAATGACAATCATGTTGACTTTCCACATTACCTTAAACAAAAATAAATCTCATTGATACTAAGTAAAAGAAATAACATTAGACTGAAAAGCCTATTTTCCAGAAAAACTGTTTTAAGAGAGATTTTATAAATTTCTATCATTTATTGTTTTATTGAATGAATAGTGTTTCTTGTATAAAAACAAAAGTAGATGAGTAAATGTTTTATTGAATTCTAAAAGGAGATGGATGGCTGGCCTAGCAGCAGTGAGAATGGAAGAAAATTCAGTTGACTTCACACTGATGTTCTCGAGGAAAACATGAATTCACATATTTTCATTATTTTTTTCCATCTAATTAATACAACCTCTCATGTGAGGACAACTGGGTAGTATCAAGTAAGTTGCCCTGAGAAATATATACAATAGTACACCAATAACAGGTCATAAGTAGATTCTGAAGAGGTTTTTTTTTAAAAAAACAAACAAACAAAAAAAAAAAAACAAGCATTAAAGGAAAAAAAGTAAATCGAGATGTATTGAATGGAGCAGATTGGTATGAGTAAGCTCCGCCTGTGATGACAGAAAACAAAAATAATACACTCTACACAGAAGACTGGTTTTATTTGAAAAGCCATCTTCACAGGAGTAGAAAAGTAAATGAAATATTGGTTCAATATGTGCTAAAGGGACAAAATAGTGAAATTCTTTGAGTTTTAAAAGCAAATAATCAGGAGTGGGAAAGGATTTACCATTGAATTAGCCCAGCAAACTTAATTTTCCATAGATTTTACTTCAACCACTGAGTTGAAAAAAAATAAAAGAATAAAGAATTCAAAATGTTCCTATTAGCTGGCCTATTCCTTAAATGTAAACAGATTATCATAAATTAAAAAATATATCTTTATTACTGAAAGAGAGAGTAGAGAGTGGGGGGGGGGAGAAAAAAAAAAGATGATTCCATATATGTCAAAGATGAGCTAAAAATATCAAGTCATTTTTAGGCACCTGCACTTAGCAAATACAGTATTTTCTACAAGTTTCAACATTTGACTTTACTGAAATCCATGTCAAGGATGGCAAAAGTTGTATGTTACAATGGCAGACAGAAAATAGTCAGACCAACAAATCCAAAAGATGCTGATGGAGACTACCCCTACCCCCAGTTTACCTTGAACACATGGTGAAATCCTGTAATGTCACTTTGACAACTGACATACATAAGTGTGTATTAGAAATAATTTGAAAAAAAAAAAAAAAATTGCAATCAATTTTATGCTAGTAATAATCTCAATTCAAAATTGTAAAGGCACCATACATCATTATTCTTTTAGTTTGATCTGAAGCAGTCACAGAGATAATGATTGAAACAATATTAACTTTCATCCTGCCTGTTGCACTCGTTTTTTATATGGGTAAATGTTAAATATAAACATTATTCTGGGCAGTAACAAACTAACATATTTTAGTTTGTTGAGTATTTTCTGAATGTTATAACATTTTGTTGGCTGTTGATTAATAAGATCAGGCAACAATTATGTAACATTTATTTAAATCTGGTTTTATGGGTTCGTAAATTTTCATAGTTTTCTTTTCAAAGTTAATGCCAATCTGAAAAACTTGGATAGTTTTTTCCTCCCAATTAAAAAAATAATAAAAATCATTTTTAAATGTTTGTTATGCCAAGCATAACCCCTTTTAATCTTAAAAAAAAAAAAAAAAAAAAAAAAAAAAAAGTGCTCTCCCTTGTAAGCTTTTACGAAAGTTGGTGGGGGGAATAATTAAAATAAAAAACAAAAAGGAGATGGAAACGTTAGAAATAAAGAAAAGCCAAAACCCAGTTATAAATGTTTAATGGTGATGTGTATCTAAAACTGAAAGTCAGTGAAGTGGGCAATAATTTTATGTCCGGTCTTCATTAGCAAAAAGCTCCTTTGACATTATTTGTTGCTCTCCATCCATCCCGATCCTGGCAATGAAATTTCACAAATGATTTGGAGGGCCTGGAGCAGGAGGCCCTGTTGCAAATGTCACATCAATGCCCCTTAACAAGAGCAAGGCCAACTTAAGGTGGTAATCATGCCGTGCACTGTTATAATATTCTTCACAGATGCTAAGAATCCAGCCAATGGATATCCTTTTCTTCCCCCCCCCCCATTGGTGCTCTCACCACAGCCACCCTATTTGTGTTGGAGGCTGACAGAAGTAGTCAGGAGTTCTGCAGCTGCCACAATAGCGTGAAGTTCTGGCATCAAAAGCCTTCAGAATGTTGCTTGCTGGACAAGCGGGCAATAATACGTTCCAGTTGTCGCTTCGCTTCACATTCTGGGAAGTTTACCATGTCATAGTACTGGGGAGCAATTTTGATCAACCTAAATAAATAAATAAATAAATAAAAATCATTTAGCAAAATATGTTGCTATCTAATAAATGTTGAACATTTCTTTTTAGTACTAATAAATTTAGTAAATGGTTTATATAAAAACTAATTTTGCAAAGTATGCCTAAATTACAATTGTAGCATGAATATTAGTGTGCTGGGTAAGGTAATACATAAAAGTAATATGAAGTATAGCCAATAGCAACAATAAAAAATCTTTTGAGACTTGTTAATGAACACAAAAACAATTTCTCTTTGCCAACAAGCTCTACAAAGCAGCAAAAAAGAGAATAGATACGAGTTAAGATTTATTTTTGTTATTTCAAAAATCAAAGTTATCTTTTAATTACATACATACACATTGTGTGTGTGTGTGTGTGTGTGTGTGTGTGTGTGTGTGTGTGTGTGTGTGTTATGAAATGAAGTCCAAAAATTATTTTAACATTTATTGTTTATACATTATTTTTATAGAAAAAAAATATTTAAATGCTCTGTTTATAATAAACAGTATTAACAACATTTACCAGCCTGAATATGATGGTTCCCATGCAGGATACAGGTTTGATTCCTACCAGGGGACACATTTTCTATGAAATTTCTGACATTCAGGCCGGTAAATGTTAATACTGTTTATTATAAACAGAGCATTCAGGAAACTGACAAGATTAGAAAGAAGCAACAATTACCATTCTGGTTTGATGTCAGTAACTGTACGAATGTAGTTCTTGGTAGTGAGTACAAATTCATTGTAAAGGACCCACTCTGGTTTGTGGTCAAGACAGGTTGAAGGGTGCAGCTGGACAACCTGATTATCCTTTACAGTCAAGTAATGGCCTGTTCGTTCCAAATGTGCTACCTACAGGCAGAAAACAAGCATACATATGTGGATTCAACTTTAAAGGGAAAGTCTCAAGAAAAAAAACATTTTGTTCCAAGACAAGGAAAGGAAATTTTTTTTTTTTCTCCTTCAAAATGATCAAAAACCAATGTATGTTTACAAAAAAAAAAAAAAAAAAAAAAAAAGGGTGGACCTAGAACTAATACAAGAGTCGAAATAGCAAGAAAGAAAAGACAGTGGGAGTGGGGCAGAGGGAAAAAAAAAAAAAAAAAAAAAAAAAAAGTCAAATATAGATTTAGCAACAAATTTGGTAAAAGGTTTTAATGAAAAATTTTTTCCAGTGTTGAAAAGAAAAAATATCCTTCAAGATACAAAATGTACAAGATTTAGATTATAGAGACAAAATTTATCAAGTTAATAACTTTTGTTAGAATTATTTTAGTTTAAATTACCAATTATTTGTTACAATTTTAACAAAGACAAAGCCACTGCAATGATGAAAATAAAACTTACTCTTTATAGATCCCAACAATATTTTTTTTCATTTCCTTATTCAATATTGGCAAAAAACAGTAAAGTTATTTCTGATGAGTGAAAATAAAAGGATAGGTAGTAACAGAATTTGGAATGACAGCTGTGTGTGTGTGTGTTTTTTATATATATATATATATATATATATATATATAGATAGAGAGAGAGGGTGGTGAAAAGTTCTTAGCCTGACTCATTTACTTAATGAAATCTGAGCAAATATCATTGGGTGTTAAACTGAAAACTTTTCAGCATGCTCCCATATAAAGACACTGGAAATACAAGCAGATTGATGTAAGAGTAACAGTAATGACACCCAATTAGTAATTGGATACAAATTAAGACAGCTCAGGTAAACAGCAAATATTGATAAGCAGGGGAAGAGAAGGCAGTGGCTAAATTATACTTTGTTACAATTTTGGCACCATAGAGAGAAAGAGCTTTAAAAAAGTTTATTTCATTAAACTATCTTTGACTTAAATTTATTCTGGCTTTGTTTCAAGGATTAAGGCATTAATCACAAAATTAACCACAAAGTATTAAAAGGTTTGGAAATCAAATGAACTGCAGTTTGAGGTATTCAAAACCTGAAATGTCACAGCCTTGTCTACAATAAAAATGCTGCTTTATATCAGAGACCCTCAACATGAAAAATTGTTTTGAACATCCTTTGATCAACAGGCCAGTTAGGGTAGCTGATAAACCAGTGAATGTTAAACGGTTTAAGGTAAAGACAATGAAAAATAAGTCTAAAAATCCTCTTGCTTTAGATATTAGACTAATTTTTACAGCACATTTTTGAATGGATATATAATAGCCATCATCATCTGTGCCTGTAAGTAAGAGACATGTTCTTGCTCACATTTTAAATACCTTTTCAGGTCTCTTTGAATAAGAGAAAAGATGGTTAAAAGAAATGGGAAGTATTTCTGGTGAGGAATGAAAGAGAAAGCAAAGTAAGTACATGCACCATGTTCAAATGCTTACACTCCATTACACATTTCATGAAAAGAAAAGATATCAGTTTTTATTCTTTTTTTTCTCATATTTGACAACTTTTAAAATTGAAAAGAAAGAGAAATGAAAAAAAGTTTGGAATAGGCCAAAGTGAGGTTTTCTAATTCCCCACCAGTAAGCAGTTATGTTCTCACAAATGGGAAATAAAAATCACAAGGCAATATAAATTTGATTTCTACTTATCCACTAATTTATATGGTGGGAGGAACCTTAATCTAAAACAAGAATTTCACTCACTCATTCATTTTTTTTTTTTTTAAACCTAAAAACCACTGCTCTGTGGAAGAAGATTCCTGTGTGGATGCTTCCCCAATCACTACAATTTTAATGCTTTCAAGCCAAAGGTTAATTGTTAATTACCCACATGATCTTCAATTAGTACTCTTACATTCATATCACTCATTGAGCAACCCTCCATCTTGAGTGACTCTTGATAGAACTTTAGCAAAAAACAAAAAATCCTGCCCACTTTGAAAGTTTATTAATATCTGACCATATGACAAAAATGACTAAGAGGACAAACTGACAGAAAATAAAATTACATGTTTCAATATATTCAAGATTACATATACAAGTAAAATAATTGTATTAAAGTAAATCTTTTATATAGATCAATGTGCACAAGTTCCAAAATAAAATTAGTTAGCCGATTTCATGCCAACCTTTTGTTGGGTTGTTTAAAATGTTGAATTTGGTATGGGGCACTTAATGTGAGTCAAACTCATGACTCAATAGCACTAACCAACCACACTAACCATGCTAATCCTTGACAAGGCAGTCCCAAAATAAGGTGTGTATCAATAGTACTCAGAATGATACTACAGAGGCTCAAAGGCAGCCACAGCAATTCTCCAAAATTGCAATCAGTCTAAGGATAATCTAAATGGCTCAAATTGTATAAAATATGATACCTATTTGCAATAGACTTTTATCATAATTTTCTAAGTCAACACAAATGGTGCACTGGAATGATTGTTACATTACAAGACTGAAAATTCCATAATATCTACTATGCTTTAATATGCACAAACTGTACCCAGGACAAAATGAATATCATCTTTCAGTGTTGTAATTTTATCTTCTGTCTGTGTGAGATATTTTTGAATAGTGATATCTTAAAAGCTTTCAACTGACCAAAACAGATTTGAACTGCTAATCAATTAAGCAAAGCATCATTCTTTACAATTGGAGACATTAAAAAAAAAAGAAAAAATCAGACAGCAATTTAGAAATATTAATTTTTGGCTAAGCATTCTCTTACTGTGAAGTGAGAAGGGTTTAAAAAGCAAAATCTGTTTTGAATTCATAAAAATTAAAATTAACCCCAACCTAACAAATGATTGCTTGTCAAAACAGAACTATACTATCAGATTTATAAAAGAAAAAAAAAAAAAAAATCCGAGTTGATTATTTTTACTTAAACAAGCCCAACTAAAAATGTAAACATTTGCAAAATAAAGTTTCTGCAGTCAAAGAAAGGATTGAGTGAGAACATAACAGCTGGTACCCTACAACTTTTTCACCTTGGTGGGTAAAGAAAGGTGAGCCGAGATTGATGCCAAGGCTGGAATACCTGAAAAAGAGATTTCAAGAAGAAGGTGAAAGGATGTTTTACCAATCAGACTGCATACCTGATGCAGACAGTCAGATGGCTTTATGATGGCGAATAGACAAAATTTGAATGAGCAGAACAGAGGATGACAAAAAAGGTTAATTATCAGTGCAACCTACATTTCATGAAATGTTTTAGTCTTTACATCTGTTAGATAAAAAAAAAAAAAAAAAAAAAAAAGATACCTTTTTTTCTTTGTTATTCAATGTAAGTTCGAGAACCAAAAATCACATATGCAGTTTCATTTGGAAGCAGAAACCAATATAATTAATATAGTCCAGAGAGCATTTGGTATCTAAATATACCAAGAGTATAGTATCTGCCTCAAAACTGTAGATTTGGGTTTTGGCACACAGATGCCAATTTACATAATGGCATCACTCAAAATGATCCATGACCACCAATAAAAGGTAATAGAAGCAACAAAAATATCTTTAATCCACGTTAAAAGATATATATATATATATATATATATATATATATATATTTACATACACAGTTTAACTGCATTTCCATAAACCAGCCTATTACTAAGAGCGCTAATCGGGTTAGAAACATCTAACACAAAACTCAATTTGTCAAGTTTCTAAAATAAAAAAATAATCAAGTCCAACTGCATAGCAAAACTTTTTTTCTATCAAAATTTGCCATCTGATTACTCAATGTATTTAACATTACGCCATCACTCACTAAAATTGTAAATGCTGGTGAAGTGAAACAGCACTGACCTGCATGAAGAAGCCAGCCACGAGGGCTTTCCTGATGTTAATGTAGTAGTCTCTGCTAGTGAATTCTGTACTTGAACGACGCAAATTGAACCGGTCCATAATACGAGCCAATTGCTGCCGAACATTGTCTGCACTCTTCATAGAGCGGAAGTTGACAAAGTTATCATAACACCACTGTGGATCCTCATGATCTGCACAAAAAGAAAAATAGGTTAGAAAAATTTCCAATCAAGTTAATGTTTCAAGCCAAATTACCATGTTAAATGTAATAAACATTGGATCCTTATAAATTGAAGAACATTAACCATTAAAAATATCAACTCATGAAGGCATTTTTTTTTTAAAACTATATACACAATATTTACAAAAAACTTGTTCAATGTGAAAAATTTATCTTTACTGTTCTTTAAGAAAGATAAATCTTGAAAATGTTTAACTGGTCCACATCTAATTACTTAAAAATAAATAAAGGCCTGAAAATTGTTTTGAGTACTTACTTTGCTTAAAAGCATGGTATACATTGAGCAGCGTCAGGTGGTCACCATCAATGTGTGCAAATCTCATCTTGGCCTCATCTGCAGCCTTCTTCATCTCCATGGGACGCACAAAACACTGCGGGACTAAACAGGGAGGGTTGGGTGGGGGCCAAGCATGGCCCATCCCCATCGTCATTAGTGCTCAGACAACATGATGGGCGACTAAAAGGAAGCCACAGAATTAGGCAGTGCACCCAGCTCAATTAGGACAACAGCAGCAGCAGTAGTAGTAGTAAGGATCAGAGGTATACTAACAACACATAAGAGCTTGGCCATAAGAGTTTTTTTTTTTTTTTTTCTTTGAAAATGAATCGATAAAACATTGGTGGGGGCTATGTAGAAAGAAAACAGCTTTCAACATTTTTCTAAAGAGGACATTGGCCATAAATGTTACAAGTTACATTAAAATATCTTAATTTAGTAATACTGTCAGAATATTGTAAACATGCAGTCTAGACTAACACATTTACATATTAACACTACTAGAACTATAGACTAATTTTTAAGACAATGGCAAGTAAATGCAAAGTACAATATATACGGGTTTTTTTTAAGTTTTTTTAAGCGATATAAAATATTTAAATATTGCAAAATAAATCTAGTATGTCACAAGTGTTAATGTAGACTGATCTTCAATAAATTTTTATCACATTTCTTAAAATACATTTTTCTTTTATTTTAGTAAAACCAGCTGTTATAAAGTGCAAATATAACATGCAGTATTAGTTTTACTCATACAAATATAAAAAATTCTGAAAACTGTTCAATTGAATAGAATTTTCTTAGTAATTAAACATCCGTCTAATGTGCGAGGTTAGATGATGGGTATGGCTTATAAGTTTAAATAGAAAAATTTAATTTCTGATACACAAAGGATAATTAAAATTACATTAAAAAAAGCTTGGCCAGACTCTATTGGTGATATATTGGGTTAATAAACAATGTAGGTGACAAGGCAATTTGAAGAAAATACATATGATTGCTCTTGCCAAATAAAATTCTATGAGAGAAAGGGAGAAGGAAAGAAATGGTGTAGCAATAAGCTGCTACAAGTTAAACAAGTTCAAGCAGAGTTTTTTTTTTTTTCTTTTAAATATTTTTTAAATTTTTTTTTTTTTATTCTGAAAGATATGAATCAATTTTTTTTTTTTTAGATGCTTAATTAAATGAAAAGATTAGAAAACTAAGTATATTAACAATCCAAATAAAGTTAAAAAAAAAAAAAAAAAAAAACTCTGCCCAAACAACTTTTCAAACAATATTGTTAAAATTTATCAGAAAATTGAATATGACAATATTGAGAGGGTGCACAGCCAAAGAAACTCCACAACAAGATGCAGTAACACAGCTGTAGTGTTCTCAATACATCTACCAGAGTTAGAACCTAAACACAGCCTTTAAACATTAAGTAGTTTTAAGCTCTATATAAAAAGGTAAATTCACTTTGAGAATTCATAGTAATATTAAACATGTAAAAATTCTATACTAAGAACAAAGGTTAACTTTGTCATAAATTTTGAAACCCACCCACACCAAATAATTTTAATAAGTGTATATATCAAAATATTTAAAAAGGTAAATTTTTAAATTAATGTAATAGTAATTATTCAAACTAATTCCTTAAGTGAATTTGGTAGAGCTCAAATGTCCATAAAATATTCTCTTGCTTGTATTAGCACTAACTTGAAAAACAAAAAAATACACACACAATGGTAGAAGGCAATAATACAAGATTTAAATCAGTACATTTATACAAAAATGAGCCCCATTTCAACTATTATGTGAAATGCCTTATGAGTCAAAACAGAGACAAGATAACTTGTCTTTGAATAAAATACAGTTCATTTTAATTTAAGTTAAAAACTCGTTCTATTCTATTGCGTAATTCTAGTATTTTAGGGTTTAAAACTAACAGCTATTATTAAAATACAACTGGAAACTGAAAGAGAAAATTTATTACATCAACAGCAGAACCTATTCACAAAACAGTTTCAACATGTTTAAAATAAGATATGGGAAGAAAACCTGTTGTAAAAATAAAAATGCAATAAACAAAATTTGATAATGTATGCTCCTAGTTGTAATATTTTAATAAATAAAAATTAATTTCTATTAGCTAACATTGGGAATTTCTTATCTCAAAATTTAGTTTAATATTTGGTAAGAAGATTATACATAAAAATCCTACAGTAATAAAAACATACATTGTAACTTATGTGGAGACAACTCGAGTTGAAAAAAAAAAAAAAAAAAAAAAAAAAATGAAGGGACAACAAAAAAAAAAAAGGGAACATTGACAAAGGAATAATCAGTTTGAAGTTATTCATTCTCAATCATTTTTATCAAAACAGCATTAGTATTTCTTTGAAGCAATGATAGTAATCAGAAGACTGTGTTTGGCTTAAACCACCATATCTATAGATGCTATAAAAATTGTATTTCAAGTAGTGTTGTAATGTAAGAGTCAAGCTGAAAGAATCAGCTTTATTATAACAATAATGCTTTATAATTAAAAAGATGTAAATATCTGTACTATTTGGTATAATATAAAAAAAATCATTACAGAGAACATTGTTAAAAGTAGTAAATTTTCCAAATAACATCCTAAAATAAAAACAGTATATGTTTATCAAAATTTTTTATATAAATCAAGCAGAGATAATTGCTGGTAACAAAAGAAATAAATCATCTTGTATATCTCATAGTAAAAATATATTCAGGATGCTATTGTAGGGTAATGACAGGGACATCCTTATGAAAGAAAATCTTAAACTGAAAAGGGTGGCTAAACCAGACCATGACACCAGGTTAGGTTTTGCAAAGATTTAACAGGAACACATGGGTGAAAGGGAAGATAAATATAAAAAAAGGGAAAGAAAAGAATGAAAGAAAGAAAAAAAGAGAAAAAAAAAAAAAAAGAAGAAAGAAGAAAGAAAGAGAAAGGTGCCTGCAAGAGGGAGGGGAAGAGCAGGGTGAGATGAAGGTGGAACCAGTACTACCTGACAACATTGCAGTGATGGAAAGGATTTCATTGGAACAATTGCAGTCACAACTAGCAATGACCATCTTGGCCAACTGAGGGTCAAGTGGGAATTCTGCCATCATTGAACCCAGCTCTGTTAATTCTCCATCATCATCCAAAGCAGCAAGATAGTTCAATAATTCAAGAGCACGCATCAATGTCTCTGGGGCTGTAAATTTGATAAATAGAAGAATATGATCATTTTAAATATCTCAAGTTTATAATTTATTACTATCACTTCAATGGAACCTAGGAAGATTTTGATAAATATAACATTCTGTTTAATGAAATGAAAAAAAGGAAAGAAAAAAAAATTGCTGAGTTTTTAATTTACCATTGGAATCACCAAATATTGTGAAATATGTAAAGCTAAGATTTCATATAAAAATGTGCAGTAAACATGGGGGAATTTTTATAATTATATAATTAAATTCCGTTTATTCATGGCAGCAGGTATAAATTTCAGTAAACTGACTTCCAGTGTTTCATTAAATCATAAGAGATTTAAGAATCTTTGTCTTTGACAAACATCTGATTAAAAATGGAAGCATAGTGGTTTTTTAATATCTATACACAGAAGATCATAAAAACAGTCCATAAAATGGACAGGGTTTATGAAACAAGCAAACTTTTCATTCTAATTATTACAGAAATTGACAAATTCTTACAATGATGAAAATGAGGAAATCCAATTAGTTGTTTTCAGTGCCATATAAAATTAAACCACACAAAAAACAAGTATGGCCGAGAGTGATGGAATGGTAAACATAAGTTTGAAAACTATTTTTTTGTTTCACCAATAAGATATGATAAAAAGAATTTTATTTCAACAAAACCTACATTAGTGAGAGAAAATGCTTTATTTTAATTTTAGCTGTAGTCTTGTAGAAATTTTAAGATTTTATTATTTTTTTTTTTTTTAAATGTATAAAAATTTCTATAACTATAGAATTAAATTAAAATGCTAACATGAATCATGTTTTTTTTCCACTAATGTATGTTTTATTTAATTTTTTTTTATGCTACCAATCATTGTGAAAACAGAAGTTCTCAATCTGCCACGCACCGATTGGCCTGGGGGTAAGAGCCTCCGACTGATATTAAATCAGTCAAGTTCTGATATCAACTTGAAGCAATCGGATACCTAGCCATACTGATGAGTTGTGATACAGTGAAACAGGCTGTCTGTAGATGACACACACTAATTTATATATATATTATATCATATTCAAATATCTTAAAAAATAATAAAACTAGAGCCAATAAAAATATTTCAAGCTTAATTTAGGCTTACAATTCATAGCCATGAGGTAAGAAACTAGATTTATCTGCAGAATATCATTACATTATTGTTACATAATTATAGTGAAATCATTATGGTTTTTGTCAAAGGCATTTTATTTTTGGTTGTATATTAAAACATTCATTTTTACAAACTTTATTTTTTAAATGAGTAACATCATTCTAAATTTCAGAATTTCTTTATTGCCCATGAAAATGGCTGGAAGAAAGTGATCTAAAAATAACAATGGAAAAAAAAAAAAAAAAAAAAAGAGAGGTAAAGTGTAAATGAAAGCTCCAGTTTGGAAAACTTAGGAAACTTGGCATTCTGGCCAAAGTATTCTAAAATGCTGTCAATAATTAAGGAGAAAATGAAAAAATACCCGACAAGTCGAATATAGCATCAAAATTTATATTATTTATGGAACTAAGTACATAATTGTCAATGTATCCATAAAACTTGATATTTACTGTAATATATTCTTAATAAATATTGTTATTATTTTACATAAGTGTAAGGTAGTTCTACATTTACAATTACGGCTCACCATGAAAAGAAATGATGATCAAATGTTGATTAAGCACATATTGTCGCAAAATTATCAAATGTTGAATATCCGACACCCCGGCGACGTCTATGCCGGACGCGCAAGACATATAATGCTCTCAAAAAACAATACCCGATTCTCTGAAGCTTTTTATTACAGTGTAACCCGGATATAAGAGTTGTCAGGACCGGAAAAGAAGTCTCTTATATCCGGGTTACACTACATCTGTAATCATCGTCAAGGGAAGGAACTGGTGACAAAATTTTGCTTTACAATTCCCGCCAATTATGTAGGTTGACCTTGTCATTGACCTTGTCGATGCAAAATATTACAAGGTCAATAGCAAGACATGCATTACATATTGGTGAATTGTGAAGTGGGCTTTCGCCACCAGTTCTTTCCCTTGACAATGACCGGAGATGGAATCAGAAGCTAGAAAAAAAAATCAACTACAGTTCAAGAGTATTCTCTCTAATGTAATGCCTGGAATGAACGTGTGTGTGTGTGTGTGTGTGTGAGTGAGAGAGAGAGAGAGAGTGAACAAGACAGAGACACACAGATTGTTTACTGGTTTACCATTACACTTCCGTTCATAACTTGAACAAATTTAAATATTTCCAGTAACTGAGAAATGGAATTAAAAAGATTCTATTTTGCAAATTATCAAAATATTTTAGGAAATTTCAGCACTAATTCAATAAGTTATGCATTAGTAATGAGAAAATAAATTGTGCATTAATAAAGAGAAAAGTAGTCAAGAATTGATGCAATCATTACCAAGAATGTAAAGATGTTCTAAGGATGATAGAAATAATGCCCTTTCTTGCTTAAAAGCAGACTGGCCACAACTATATTTTTTGGTTATTTTCTTTCTTAAGGAGGAAATTTGTTTTATCAGGTCTACAATCAATGATTTAAAGTACTACCAACTAATCTGATGACAGTGTGTTGAAAAATTTACCTGGTGGATCCATAAAGTCAAAATGAACCAAATCATCAATGCCTAACTTCTTTAGCTGTAATACAACAGATCCAAGATTGGATCGCAAAATCTCTGGGTATGTATTCTCCTGCATTTCATTTTTGTAGGCTTTTTCCGTGTAGAGACGGAAACATTTACCAGGACATGTTCTGCCGGCACGACCAGCCCTCTGCTGGGCGCTAGCTTTACTGATGGCCGTCACCAACAAAGATTCTACTCGAATACGAGGGTTATAAACCTGCAAAAAATAAGACATACAAATTGTCAATAAAATAAAATTCTAGATTTTGAAAGCACCAACACTGCATGCCATACCAAACAAGACAAAACATTACTGGAATATTTAAAGAGGACAAATGAAAGTATTGTATAGTTATATCTCTCAACATAGCTGTTAGGCTTTATAAATGCATATGAAAAAGATTAAATTTCTATTATTTCATACTATTTGGGTATTGCTGAACATTTAATTATTAATCTTCCTTAAATGAAGGCAAGAAACAATTTTTAATGAGTAATACTGATAAATTAAATTTAAAATATGTTCAGTCTTGAAAAGAAAGTTTTTAAAACCCTATCATAACAGAGTCAAGGATAAAGTTGTATCCATTTACAATTTAGTGCTGACAACTAGGATCTTTAAGATGACATTTTTAGCTTGCTTGATTTTTTTCCTAATATTTTATTTTCATTTATGTAACTAATGAACAGGTTAGCAACAACATCCAATAATAGATTAATCTGGTTTCACTGCCAAAGTGTGTAAATTCATATCAACCAAATTGCTGTATTAATCTACCACTTGTAAATGTCAGAATACAAGTCATAAGTATCTGCTTTCCTTGAAGCAAAACCATGGCTAAAACAAATAATAAATGTAGTGCTTTAGGAGTAAAGTTGGCAAGCAGGGGAGGAGAGAGAAAGAGGAGTGATGAAAAGAATGTAATAGCTAACATTTGAAAATACAAAACTTTCAACTCAACTACTATTCAGATACATATTCAGGTACAATGGGATGATTAACTAACAAAGTTATATATATATTGATTTTTTTTTTCAGTTTATCAACCTTGTAGTTTATTTAAACCCAAAACATTTTTTGATTGTATGATTTGGGTGGGAGGGGGTGAATATGTACAAACATTTTTTTTTTTTTTTTAGTGATTTTCAGATAAAACCCCACTGTTTAATAATTGGGAGGTGAAGAGGTGGATACCTTTCCCCAAGAGTATTTGCATGTAAGTGACTGTAACAAACTAGACTAGAATACAAAGTTCTTAAATTTCTCATTCTGATTTGTTATTCATTACACCATCTACACATCCAAGTTTACAGTACCTGGTATTTCCTAGTAGTCACCCATCTAGGTACTGACCAGGCTTGACATTGCCTAACTTTGGTGATCAGAATAGAGCCAGTGTTTCAATATGATATAGCCATAAACCTAGTTATGTACCAAACTGATATTCCAGTGTCCTTAAGAATGGCTGACTGGTATAGTCAATATAGTTTCTTAGCTATCACAACATTCTTTGTAAGTGCTAATTTCTCAAATGCTATAACATATTAAACTAATTCCCAGACTATTTCTAATACAATGATGCTACAATGGAGACTAAGGAAAAGAAAAACAAATTAAATAGTTTACCTTTTGTTTGGCAAATCCTGGATCTATCACAAATACAACCCCATCAATAGTAAGGGAAGTCTCTGCTATGTTGGTAGACACTACAACCTTCCTGCCAATGGCTCCATTAGCCTTCTTAGGAGGTGGAGGCTCAAATATTCTCTGCTGTAAATTTGGAGGTAATGTAGAATAAAGTGGAATGCATTTCATATCACCTATATCAGGACCAAGGTTGTCTATTTCGCGCTGGATTCGTTTGCAAGCTACATCAATTTCCTGAAAATTAAATTTTTTAAAAATTAAAAGAAAAATTGCAAATATTATGCTAAGTAGCACTAATTTTTTTCCCTGTCAATTCAGACAATTTCACAATCTGTGTAAATTCTAGTTTGTAGCAATGAGTGACTACCAGTGTTTTGTGTTTTGACAAGATTAATTATAACAGCTGTTGATATGAACTTGAAATAACTAACAAATTAGTTCTATTTCATTTTTTTTGCTACAAACAGTTAAAAATCTTAAAAAGAAAAGAAAAAAAAAAACAAAAAAACGACAGTTGCAAGAAGATTTATGAAGCAGGACCTGAAAAATCATACCTCAGAGAAAAACAAGTAGCTTTCAACGTTGTATTAAAATGGGAATTTGAAGATTAATATTTTCAAAATTGAGAAATTTGACAAATTTTAACAGTATTGATACTCAACTTTAGTTCAATTTTTTAGAATTCAAATATATTTGGCTTGTTACATTAATAATTCAATTACAATTATTGCAATTTTTTAAAATTGCAATCAGAATTTTTTTTTTAACTTAACCAGATACCGATATAAAATTTGCTGTTAATTCTTTCACTTTTCAATACTGTGACTCAGTAATTATTCAATAAGAGTATAAAAAAAAAAAAAAAAAAGGTTACTTTTCAGTTGTATAACAATCTGAATTGTTCTTTAAGAAAGATTAAAAATCTACCACAGATAATCATGAACTGCAACATCTATTGTTTTATCAAATCATGTTAGATTTCTTTATATATGTAATGTTTCTCGATTTTAATGTTTTCAATCCCACCCCCATTTTAATATTTAGTTATTCAATTTCCCCATGAAATTTGCAGTATTAAGAGAATTGAGTAAAATCTGAAAGAAAATTTGTTCCCATCTTTGAAGGAGCATTTTCTTACATTAAAAATATAACTGGTTTCCCCTATGTATTTCTCCCCACACTTTCATTTTCTAACTTGAAATCATTTACATGACAGGCATGAAGTGATGACCTTTGGAGAAGCAGTATTTACCCAAGTATACATGATCTGATAAAAGCCACTAATCCAGCATCATGTAGATTAGTGATGCTTTATTAAGCAGGCAAAGAATTTATGTAAAGTGGATTTAGATTTTTCAACTGTAATCTTCAATCTGAGTTTCATCTTGCTTCATTTGGGATATGTCCATTGTGATTGCCCCATCCAACTTGTTTCCAGCAAAATTAGCTCCCACCAAAAAACCAAGCTACGAAATGTCCTGTCACTTGTTTTATTAAGCTTCAGAGTTGTTTGATTATATAAAGCATAGTTAAACAGAACTTAGTATTCTAATCTTTCCCATTAAGAATATTCCCCTATAGAAATATAGGGTCAAGTGCCTAGAATTCTCAGCTTCAATTCTCTTTGCTCTGGATGAAAGAATTCAACTGATAATCAAACTTTATCTGAAACTAAAAAAAATTCCAAATTGGCACAGCAGAACAAAATGGTGTAACTGTTCATTACAGCAATCATAACTTGCTTTTATGAATTATATAAAGTGTCATAACTTAGCCAATGGGGTTCACTAGTTAAAACTAAGACAAAGAATTCTTAGTAAGTATCAGTTCTGAAATGTGGGTCCTTCATAATCATATTTAGCAAAAAGAAAGAATGGCCATGACCCAAAGGAAAGCCTGTACCAGTATTGAGATAATGATTATACACTGAGAAGATAATGAAGTGTTTGGTGAGATGAAGATTGTTTATGATGAAGTACAACTGTAATAAAAGTCAATTCTGAAAGACTTTCACACAAGACAGGCATTTTATTCTGCTATTCACTATACATACTTCCCATCAGATTATCACCTTTTCAGACAGATTTTAGTAGTATTTCATGGAAAGGAATGCTATACTTGTTATGAAGATACTAAAACAAAGTAGGTTGATGGATTTTTTTCTACAACACCCATTGCAGGTTATTGAAAGAATATTTTTTATTTTGATAATAATGGTTTAATGATACAAGTCTTACTAACCCATAGCTGGGAGAGAAGTAGATTCAAACCTTTCCCAAAAGGTATTTTACATGTAATATAATGAACGAACCCAACAGAAATGGAACTCTGCTCTCCATTTAACAATTATTTATTACACCACCCACACACCTAAGCTTATAACATCTGTTTTTTCCCAAGCAGTCACCCATCTAGGTACTGATCAGGCTTGATGTTGCTCAACCGGTAATCATACAGGTATCAAGGTTTCAACATTAAGTGGCCATAAGCCTTAAAACAAAGGATTTTTGTTCTCAAAACCCAAAGGATTTGATGCATTAACTCTCCTGCTTAATAAGTCTGTTAAAAAAAAAAAAAATATTGAAAAATGAAGTTAACTATGATCTTGACTGAATTTGTAACTGATTATTAAATGTCACAAGTATTCATTTCCATTCTTTTCAATATTCTATAATGGTTTTCAAATTCAGAATCTACAATAAAACAAGAAATAGGCCAAAATCTTAGAAAACCTACAATTATTATTTTAATTACTATTTTCAACAAGTGACTGAAGTATAAAAAAAAAATATCGCTTTTTTTCTTTTTCTTTTTTCATCTAACTCCAAATCATGTTTTGTGTGATTAACTGAATTAAGTTTACCTCCTGGCCAGTCAGGAACAAAAGAATATCTCCTTCCCCTTCCTCACACATGTGAATCTGAATGACAGTTCGAATTGCAGCTTCAAGATAATCACGTTCTGGCTCTGGTGTATAAAAGATTTCCACAGGATGGGTTCTACCAGGAACACTCATCAAAGGAGCATTGTCAAAGTACAACTGAAATCAAAAACAGACAGGGAAATAAGCACATCCATAGTCTTGTGGAAAAATTACATTTATTTTTCAACAATTGTCAGTATCAAAGCACTTAATTCAGATGAGTATTATTCCCTCATATCAAAAACTTATTGAAATCTCAGATCAGAATTCATTTATTAAGTATGGCTATGAATGCACTCTGTACAAAATTTTACAAATGCATGTGTCCAGATGTTTTAAACAGGCTATATTTTTTCTTAAATTGGATATTCAAGAACCGTCATGAAATTAACATTTTTCAAATGTTAATTTTCTTGTCAATATTATTTGTACTGATAAGGAATTTAACAAAAATTGCCAATAGAAATAGTTATAAGAAGTCAAAGCTAACAATCATTTCAATAAACTTATTTTTGCAACAAGCAGTGCTATACAGAAATCCATAGAAAATCCTCTTCAATATTAAGCAATGTGACAGTTTATAATTCACTGTTTCAAAAGAATTCAAACACTAATCCTTCTAGCTTATACATGCATTATTTGCCAATTTTTAATGTTCTAATTTATTGATTAGGCACAAAGACCGTATTTGTTAAACTAGCTTCCTATGTAACAACTCATACCACAGGTGTTACAAAACTTACAATAAAACTATATTAGATACAAATTGATGTCAGAGTAAATTTGATTTAAATTATACTGATGTAAAATATTACTTTTGAACATTTTTTTGTGAACTAAAAATTACCTGAAAATCAATTTGAGTTTTATCTTGGTACATAAAACACCCAACAAAATCTAAGAAAATACTCATCGTGCTAAAATTTGGTAGAAAGACCTGTGTACATGCACAAATCTTCCAGCTTAAAAAAAAAAAAAAAAAAAAAAAAACAAACATACCTGAAATTTGCCCGCATCAAGCGTAGCACTCATAACAATGATTTTGAGATCATCTCTCTGTCGGCTGACTTCTTTAAGAAGACCCATGAGGATATCTGTAGCTAAAGTACGTTCATGGGCTTCATCAAGCATGATGACACCATATGCTTCCAGAAGGGGATCAGACATAGCTTCTCGCAGTAACATACCATCTGTCATGTATCTGTCAAGAAATTATTCCCAAAATTACCCAATAGGCTTATGCATTTCAAATTTATTTCACTACATTAAATTAAGAAAGTATTCAATTTGTTAGATTATTAGAAAAAAAAAAAAAAAAAAAAAAAAGATTTTAAAATAATTTTAGAAATCCCAAAGTGGGGCATGCCTAAAATCAGTTGGAAACTACTGGGCTAGATGTAAAATTTTTTGCTAACAGTTTTTTCTCTCACACTTTTCAATGGTAGGACTTTCAAGATTCATGCTTTCCATTAAACTTTTATCTTCAAATATTTAAACGCAATGTCAATCATTATTTTTTCCTTAATTCCTGTTCTTATATTGTTCTTGCTCCTTTATAATGTTTCTTTTTTCTTATTCTTTCGCACTCAGTAACCCTGTGTGGCTTAATGACTATTGTCTTGCCTGGGGTGAAATAATTTAAAAAAATAATTAAGATAAGCACAATTTTCAATTTTCTTACTTTAGAACCGTTTTAGCTGAAGTGCAATCTTCAAATCGAATACTGTAGCCAACCTCCTGACCAAGACAAACATCCATTTCTTCAGAGACACGTTGGGCTACAGACATAGCTGCCACTCGTCTAGGTTGTGTACAAGCAACACCTTTTTTAGGGTAACGTGCTCGCACCCATTCAAGGCACCACTGAGGAATCTGAACAAAAAAAAAAAAAAAAAAAAAAATTCCTATTAAAGAATGTTAACCTTTAATGATTTTTCTAGTCAATGGTGATTTATACAAAATTAAACAAATAAAATAACATTTATTGTTAATTATTCTATAAGCTTTAAAGTTAGATTTGAATTAGAAACTGAAGAAAATAACCCTATATCAACACTAGGGATCAAATTATTTGCCGTTTCTTTGGTCTGTAAATATTTCCACTACACTTTTTCAGGAATTCATTCAGATTTACAAAGAAAGTTTAGAACTATTTTAACAAAAACCATTAATTCTTTCATGAAGCATATTGGACAAAGTTTTATACAAGAGAATATTTACGAGTTGACATAATTCTCAAATAAATTACAATTCTTTTATTAAGCGAGAGTTAAAAAAAAAAAAAAAAAAAAAAAAAAAAAAAAAAACTTACCTGAGTTGTTTTTCCAGAACCTGTTTCACCAACTAAAACTAGAATTTGATTATTATTAACCATGTCTGTGAACTTCTCCTTGTATTCCCAAACAGGAAGTGCATTCCTTTTTCGCAGCAGTTCATAATAACGAGGTGTGAATGGCAATCCTAAATAAAGAAAACATTAAATATTGCTTTCACACTTTAACCTAGATAAAGACTATAAAAGATTTTTTGATCAAGCTGCCTATATATATATATATATATATATATATATATATATATAATATAAACAAAACAGGTATTTGCAGGAGTGTTTTTCATAGTATTTGCATTTACTTTATTAAGTATCAAGTTTGGGTAGAGAAACTAAAAGTTATAGAATGTTTCACATACATAATATTTGTTTCTTCATTTTAAATATACCATAGATCTAATAAAACCCTCAAAGACCTGACTATCAGGATATTTGGAATTTCTGTTATATTTGTTACTGCAAATGAGCAGAAATATTCAGCTTGAATTTATGAATTGGTTTCATGGAAATTTAGAGACTTTGAATTGGAGAAAGAGAGAAAAAAAAATCAAATCAATATATACAACAATTCCTTACCTGTGAAAGGATTTAACTGTATCTGTGGTTTGGGTATGTTGAACTGCTCAAAGATAGACATTTTCTTCTCGGGTTTCTTTTCTTCTTTTTCTTCATCCCAATCTCGATGTCGTTCTTCATCTCTGTTGGAAAGGCAACAATTAAGATAAAAAAAAAAAAAAATACATGGAGAAAACTAGAGTTCACAGAACGTTAACATGCTAAAATCTTAGCCTTTTCAGGTGATAGTTATTTGGGCAAATAATGAGACTCAACTATAGTTGCATACTTTTAAAATAATTCATTTTAAAAGCAGTAAATATCTTCAGTGGCAAAAAATACAAATTAGACAAGATTACATTTTTGATTGGCCTGTTTATACACACACAAAAAAATTATTTTACAAATCTTTGTGCATGATGATTTGTATTAAGCTTTTCAACTTTCACTTAGTAAATTGTCTTCACTTAATCATCTAATGAAGAGGCAGTTTTGAAGAATTTAAGAGATTAACCTTATAAATTATTACAAATAAAAAAAAAAATTTCTTCAGACTATAATGCCCTTAATATAGCATTTATAAAAAGATCCCCCCACAAAGAAAATTTTTAAAAAATAAATTCATTTATTTGTGAAGAAGTCCTGAAAGTTTTGTTAAAATACAACAATTTGATAAAATGTCCAGTCAGTTTTGTTACACGAGAAAAAGAGTTCCAGATGTGTTAGAAAGGAGTAAAAAAAAAAAAAAAAAATGCTTCACTTTAGCTTTAATTAAAAATTTACTATTGCCAACAAGCAAAATGCTCTGGTGTGTTTCAAACAAATTATATTTACCAGAATCATTTTTTTTTTTCACCGTAAAATCTACCAAAACAGACCATTTGATACATTTGTAAACAAAAATTAATTCTTGGTTTTAAAAATTTTGCTAAAATATTTCTGAAACATATGAGGAAATTTAAACTGTCATTTGAAATAAATATTACTTAAAGGATAAAATGTTGTATACAAACATTAAACTATGGGGTCTTGTTTTTCTGACATGTTAATAGATTTATTGGCAGCATATTGACAGCCAAACGTGTTCATAGTTAAGTATGGTGGAGCAAAGTTTGACGCTTTATTTTTTTTTTTGTAAGGCATGGAAAACTCTTAAAACATCTGACCTTTTATGGGTTTGTACATACATTAGAAATTCTGTATGTAATCACACGGGGAAAATAAATTTTTTTAATTCTTTTAAAAATATTCAGGGTCATCAGATTGTAACAAGCTTTACAATATATGATTAGTAAATATAGTTTATATATTTAATACTTCCTAAGAATTATAACATTGCAAATGAATTTTAAAACAATTTCAAAACTTTATAAATTATTAAAAAAAACAAAACAACAAAAAAAAAACTGTTTCTTCAGACAATATTGTCTTTAATATATATTATTCATAAAATAAGTAAAGCTTCTCTAATTAAATGTCTTAGTTTTATTGCATTTTTTATTTTGGGATTTTTTTTTTTTAGGTAAGACTAGGTCTGATTTAGCAAAAACAATTCGGTGATTTAAATTCTTCAAAGGATTCTGCTTTTAACTAGGTATCTCCAATAAGTCACTGATAAACTGTAGAGCATGATGAAAAAAGACCTCAAACTTAATAAAAACAAACTTTTGTCAAAATGTTTATACTATTACTAAGAAGAAACACCAAGGTATTTTTAGAAGTTTTTTTTTTTTTTTTTTTTTCAATCCTTTCTAGCATATCCATTATTTTGAGGGGAAATTCTTCCAAAAATTATTTTGTAATGGGTTTTATTTTAAGTCCTGGTAAAATTTTTTTTAATTTCGACTTTTAACTTAGTGATAATATTAGTTAAAAGCAGAAAAACTTTGAGAATAGCTTTTTTGTGTAAAATCGAATACACACTACCAAAATTCAGCTCTGGATTTTAAAATACAAAATCCAATAAAACAAAGAAATTATTTAATCAAATAAAGCTTTTAATGGCTTTTATGAATAATATATATTAAGGACACTTGTCTGAAGTCAAAATATTTTTCCAATGAAAAATTAATTGAAAATAAAAAATGTGATAAAAATTATTAAATATTTTAAAATTAAGTCTCAATTTGTGTACTTTAGAAAATGCTTTTATTAATTACATTTATTTTTACAGACCATAAATTTGAAAGCTTATTACAATCTGCTAACAAAGTATTTTTAAAATATATTTTGAATATGCAAAAAATGTATTAAAAACGTTTTCTTCAAATAACATTTTAACCATAATAGTCAAGTGCTTAAAAAGTTGTTTCCCCTGAGAGCAAGGACCAAACCAGAACTGAGAAAATACTTTGTTTTCCTTCTAGCGAGCACGTGTTAAATTCTGACTGACGAAAATCGCATTTCCAAAATTTTTAATTTTCTTTTTACATCCTATTTCATTAAATAATGTGATTTAAATTTTTAAATATAATTGGTTTTTCTGTGACGTACATATTGCAATTATTTTTCTTTTTTTTTAATTTAAATTTTTTTTAGTTTTAAGAAACGGAAACAAAACAATTATCAAAAATAAAGAAAAAACATAAGACAAAAAAAAAAAATTTCATAAAAATGAAAGTCAATTTAAAAAAATACTGTGTAAGTTGGTTTTCACATAAAATTAGAAAAAAAAAAAAAAAAATGTCACTTCTGTGAATTCCGTCCGTTAAATTTCCGACAGTATCAACACCTCCCAAACAAGTCACGACGGTTTAAAACTTAAGATAGGCTTATTTTCAATTAAATTTTTTCCGATAAAAATTTAAGTAATGTTTGTTTCCAATTTTAAGTAAACTTTCAATTTTCTAATTTCTCTCCAATGACTTGAAAAAGAATTGAATTTCACAAGATTTTTAAACAGAAAATTTCACTTTTGTTACAAAGTTGCCAAAAATGGCGGAAATGATCGATATTATGGTAATTTTACTGGCTCAAAAAAAAAAAAAAAAAAAATTTACTAAAATTTCGGACGTGTTAGGAAGGATTTAAAAAAAAAATTATACTTTGACCTTTAAACGATAAAAATATTTTATGTTTGGAGCTCTTTCATCACGGTAAGCTTTTTTTTTTTTTATCAAAATAGTGAAACACTAGTCGATAAAAAAAAAGTTACCACGTTGAATTTTTCAAATTTTCATAAAATCATGGAGGGGAAAACAAAGAAAATTAAATATTTGTTAAAAAAAAAAAAAAATTAAATATACGTTGACACAAACATCGATTTTGACGATATTACTATTTTCATTATATTTTGGAGTATGTTTTCGTCATGGTATACTGATTTTTAGCATTTTGGTTTAATTTCTAAAAAGCATAAAAAAAAAAAAAAACACAAGTAAATAAAAATAACCCTGCCAAAAGGCGATACAAACTTTTCTTCGGTGTGGATTTAATTTTTTAAGCCTCAAAAGGAATGGCATGGATAAACAATAAAAAAAAATTGTTGCTGACTTTTTTAATCAAAAAATGCAATATTAGGCTAAGAAAATGATTTCTGGTAGAAATAGGGCAAAAATTAAAATTAGCTGATTTCAGTTCTCATGTACGTACGAAGAATACTAAGTGTGAATTATTGATCTTTTAAATGCCCATGCCGACTAGATCGATGGTGCAGACAAAATAAACTATAGGTTCAGTCAGTACATTCACGTTTTAAAGACATGTGGTTGTAATTGTTAAGAAATAAAACATAACTGATTAAGTTGAGCGCTTCAAAGATTTCTACACGTCAAACAGATTTTTTATTTCTCTCACATTTCCCAGAACCTACGTTTAATTTTTAGGGTCATGCGTTAGGATAAAGAAAATTAAAATAAAAACAACGTCCGATTTTATTTTCCCTGTAGCTGATCAAGAAAAATGCATGGATATACTTCGATTCATAAGAAGGTAGTTTCAGTCAGTACAGACGAGTAGAAATGTTTTGACTTTTAGTAACACATTCCCACCTTTCAATAGGATGGGAATAAGTGAATAGGGGTTTGACGTTTCACACTGTTTTTATTTCGTATTACCGCTCAAACGATTTCTGCATAATTATCTCCAAAGAACCTGGAATATGAGCTTAGTTAAAAGAAATAAAGGGAATGTAAGGGCGGTAAATCGGTGATTTTTAGACAGCAGAAATAGTCTGAAGCACTAAACGAGAAATACGAAGGTTTAACTGAGGAAAAAACAATAAGAGAATTCCGAAGTGGACCAATAGATATAAATGAAAGACACGTGGAGTCAAACACAGATGAAGGAAAGAAATTTGACATACTTATATTATGAACAGAGAAAAATAGGTCACGTCTGAGTAACAAATTCTTGACAACCACTTTCAAAATAATACAAAATATATTGAATTTTTAATACAAAGAATTCACATTTTTCTTTTAACAACAGAAAAAAATTGATAAGGAACCACAATAAAAATGGTTTTCTTTTAAATCTTGGACAAGGAAAAAAGAAAATATGGTGCCCAAGTTATCGGAAAAATTATGTAATTTAATTATAAATATAAATTCTAAATGAAATAAGAAATAACGGATTAAATTTATAAAAAGTCATTTTTGCGGTACTTTAAAATCATGAAAAAGGTGAAAATACTTTTTGGTGAATTTATTTTATTTCGATCATACAAATTTAAATATATTCACGAGAGCGGAAAAGAAATCGGCAAATGGCATTTTAAATAAAAATACTTTAAAATAGGACAACGGGGAGAAGTGTTTGTTGTTTACTAGACATTAAACAAATACTCATTAACTCAAGCAAGAATAAACAAATCTAAAAAGAAAAACACCACCAGAGACAAACAAGGAAATTTAAATCTTTTTTCCATTTTAAAGAAGTTTTTTTTTTTTTTTTTTATAGCCTTTTTTTTTCCAATAGTGAAAATTACTTGCCAATATTTTATAAGTCTAAATAGCGTGATGATGAAAAAAAAAAAAAGGGATCAAAAATGGTGTGGGGAAAATGCATTAAATGCCTCAAAATTTTTTCAAGTTAAAAGAAAAAAAAAAAAAAATGGGGGGAAAAAATGATTTAAAGTGGTCATAAAATCGGGGACTGCCGAGACAAAAACGAATTGCCAAACACGTGATACTGGCTTTTAACGAGAAATACACGTTCGTATTCACTTTCTAGTAATCAAAATGCCCTTTCACAGACTCCAAAATAGCAACTCCTATTTATTTGCGTGGGAATTCCTCATTGAGGAATTCACCAAACTGTTCCCCGATTTTATGACCAACCTTTTAATTTTTCACACTAATTCAGCCATCTTTGTCGCTAAACAGAGCATCGAAAGACAACGTCTGTTTTTTTTTTTTTTTCTTCTTCCTTAATAACCAAGTTCTTCATGAGAGAAAAATAAAAACATATATTTATTTTAAAAAGCAGAAAAGAAATTTATAGGCTTACCTTCCCCTCTTAGAAGAGGAGGAATCACCAACATCAATCCGACGTTTGGACATATTTGCCCGCGCCACAAATGCCGTGGAGCAGTTGTATTACTCTATTAGAGAAGGGCACAGGATATGGAATTCTGGGTAGGGCTTTCCTCACTCACGTCACTTCCGGAAAGTTTAAACTTCCTTATTGATTCTTTTTATGAATGATTACTATTCATACATAGTCCAATCTTGTTTGACCACACCACACACTACAGTTTCATACTTTATATATATATATATATATATATAGCAAATTTATATAAAAAAAAAAACGAATTAACGATTTATATATAAAAAAAAATGCATTTTAATACTGCTGAAATATTTTAAAAAGCTGCAAGTCACTTAAACCAAATAAATAATCACCTTCTAAAATCATAAAATGTAGCATTCTTTTTCTTCTGATTTCACTATTATTAAAAAGATAAGGATATTAGCCTATCTGTAAATAATGATAAATTCCTTATCTCAGAATCCAGGCAAAAATTATCCTGAATATTTAAAATGTGAAGTATTATTTTTTTTTATTAGTAAGTAATATAAAAATATTATAAATATTATAATAGTCTAGGTTTGTCTTTTAAGAGAAGTGTTTAAAACAAAAAGACAGTTATTAATTAATAAACAAAAAGACAGTTATTAATTAATAAACTTCATGTGATGCATTAGTTTCTAAATATAGAAGTGGATCAAAACGAACCACCAAAAATAATTTGGTCAAGGTGGACGGTTTGTGATTTCTTTTTCAAATTTGAAAAAGATATACACCTTTGTATTTATTGTCCAATCAAAAGCGTGTCTCCTACTCATATAAATTTAAAAGTTGAGACCCATCTTTTGAAGATATAGAAGACAGAATGTAATGAAAATGTTGACTAGAATGTATAATAATTTTCAGCCAGAAAGTGTAGAAACTTTTGACAAGAATCTGAAACTTTTGAAGAGACCAGAAGGTATGAAAATCTCAACCTGAAGAAATAGATTCCTAATCTTGTCAGTTACTATATTCCCAAGGGACATTTGGATACCGAGTAACATGTAGCCAACCATAAAATTATTTTCCTGGCTATTAAAAGTCTGAGTTGACAGCCTGCTTACTTTGATTTATATCATTTTGTAGGTGTAGACATACATAAAAGGAAATTTTAGCAAGAAAAAAAAACATCACCTCTCTTATACTAATTGTAGAATAAGGTGTAGAGGTCCGGGGGGGGGTGAAGATGAAAAGAAAATACATGCATTTAAATTTCCTGCTAGAAGAAGGTTTAGATACAAGAGAATGTTGGACTTGAATTAAGTCCAACTGAAGATAAAGAAGACAAACAAACAAGACCGATATATATGTATATATAAACAAATATATGTATTAAACAAAACATCTATAAAGCACATAGACAGTTAACATTGTGTTTGTGTGTGAACATTTGTGTGTGTGTGAACGTTCGTATTTTGGTGAATATTCATATTTTGGAAAAGTTCGTAAGAGTTCGTACGTACATGAATGCGTGAAATATTATTTAACATCTGACTGCATGGTCGAGATGATAATTTTCTGGGACTACATTTTGCAGTAAGAATAGAGAAAAAAGAGAAAAAGGCAAACTCGTGTTTGCTATTTATAGATAATGTAATCATGTGACAGGCTCACAGTGCCTTAGCAGGAAACTTGACTTAGTCACGTGCTGGAAAAATATATTGTGCATGGGTGGATTGCAATGTCCATTTGTGTGTTTATTGACCAATTAGAAGCTGATATTTCCTGGAAATATTTACTAAGCTAAGAAGGCTCTTAGGATCCGATTCTCCCAAAAGTGCACAAAATCGACTACATGAAAATATAGTGATTATAAAATTGTCACATAGCTGCGATTTATAAATTGTCCATTACACAGTAGTGTTGATTTATTATCCAATGAATGCTTGTTGTTATATAATTTGAATTTGTGTAAGTATGTATTTATGTGTGTGATGATGATCATCATTACAAAGGTGCATAATAAACAAGAAAACAAACAAGACTTGAAATTCCAATGTGAAATTTGAAATGAACAAACATTTATTACAGAGATGTAAAAAACAATGTACAAAAATACAATTTTTACAAAAAAGGCTTGAACAAAAATTTGTGCATCTTATAATTAATAAGGCAAGATAACCAGTTCAATATAAAGAACTATAGGCTCTTAAAAAGATATACAATTCAAACTTCCAATAATAAAAAAAAAACTTTGAGAAGGTACAAGAAACATTAAAAACACTTTTATAAAAGATACACTCACCTGAAAGACAAAAAACAGAGAGAGCTTTGGCAAAATTCACTTGCATCACTAAGACTTTTTAAAAAATTGTTCTTTATCGAGAACACCATTTGATTCACAGTTTTTATATGATTCACTTCTTTTCTTCATTTGCTTTTTCTGTGAGTAACAGCTCAGCTCATCCACAGGTGACAGCGCAATGTAGCTTTTCATCTTGGAACCATATTTTTATGCTTTTGGGTGGAAATTTTCATGTCTCATTGTCTTCTAACTTCTTCAAAATTTTCATTACCTTCCTCTTGAAAATTATTACACCTTCTGGTTGAAAATTTTAATACCGTGTCAGAGTTAACTCCTCCTTAATTTCCTGATTGTTCACTAGGGCATGCTCTCCCTACACTATAAATACTTGCCTAGTTCTTGTCTACTTTGCATTTCAGCAGACACATTTACAAAATGTGATCTCTCGCAGAGATCTGCTTTTTGCCCACTTGTGGGAAAACACCATGAAACACACATGCATGTATGTACGAACATTCACCAAAATACAAACTCTTTATATTCACATACAAACACAAATGTTTGTGTCTATGTCCATTGTAAATTTTGTTGTTTAATACATATATTTGTTGATATATATATATATATATATATATATATATATATATTAGTCTTGTTAGTTTTCTTAACACTTATTTAAGGTGGATTCAATCTCTGAGTCCGCTATGTTCTTGTAGTGGACTTCTTCTAGCAGGAATAAATGCACGTGTACCTAATTTAACAACATTTAAATCCACAGTCTACTACAACTGTCTGGTTGAAATTTTCATTACCTTCTAAAGTTCTCCATTGACCTGTCTTCTTATATATCTTTGAAGAGGCACCAAACAGGACTTAAATTTACATTGGTGAAAGCCAACCTTTTGATTGGAGAGTATATATTTTTCAAACATGAAAAACAAATTGCAAACAGTTAACCTTTTACCAAATTATTTCTGGCAGTTCATTTTGAGCCAATTGTAAATTTAAAAACTTAATTTCATAGACAAATGTAGTACATCAATTTTTATTTTTCTTATTAACTATTTGGCTTTCTTTTAAATACACTTCTCCCAAAAGTAAGTGTAAAAGACAAACCTAGACTATTATAATATTTATTTATCTACACTTTTTTCATTAACTATTGTTTTTAATTACTTTAGATTACTTTCTAACAAAATTTTTTTGTATCTCAGATGATGCTGGTTTTTAGATAAAATATTCAATTTTCATGACAGACATTTGCAGATATCAGATAAAATCTCATTGGTTTAGACATTTTCAGATATGAGATAAAATCTCATTGGTTTAGTCATTTGAATATATGAGATTGTAACAGCAGCCTCACCAATAACAAGGAAAAAAGTGGAAATGACAGAACAACAAATGGAGATAAGATGTGGCTGAGATAACTGTTTCTATTTCCTGTGATCTACAAGGATTCATTGTTTGCTGATTCTGGGGTATCGTATATCAGTTGTGGGAGACTGAGAGCCTGTTCAGGGTATAACTCAAGGTAGCAGTTGAGATAGACATGTGAAGAAAATCAACATGCATACATAGTTGAGACTTAGTCTCTGCTGCTGGTTGATAGAAGTGTCTTGGTATTGCTGCTGATGGTCTGGGCAGATGTGTAGTTTTTCTAGCCCAGTTAAGCCTGCTTGCTGTGGGGTCTGTCACTAATGCCAACTTGGTCAGATCTCTCTTTTTGGGTAAAATCAGCATTGGCATTATAGTGAGTCACTGGATTAGCTTTTTCTGATTGGTTGAAAAAATATGTTTCATGACCCTGTTATTTTTGGAAAGTATTCTGGAAATGGGTTCACACATCTGGAGAAAATTAAGGTATGTTTTTGTCATATGAGCTGTGGATGCTAAAGTGAGCACTTTTGCTTGAGTTTATTGGAGTTCCACTCACTGACAATAATCACAAGCAACGAGATATTGAATTATTGCCTCCTGATGATAATTACAGCTGGAGGAAGATTTCAAATAATTTTTCTTTCTTCATGATGACTTTGATAGTGAAAAGATGTATATCTTTTCGTTCATCCCAACATGTAAGTACCACAACTACAAATACAGAAGATTGCTTTGAACTCTTCACATTCAATTTAATTTCTCATTTTTCTTTTGTAAAATATTCCTATCAATATACTTGTTAAAATTTCTTGGTTTAAATTCTATGCCTTTGGACTCACTGTGCATCAAATGTAACAGGAGCATAAAAATCTTATCAAAAGTGTTGAAGCCCACAACAATGAGTACAAGGTGAACCATCATTTTTAAATATTGTTTAACACACTCCTATCATTAACCAACTGGAAAATATATAAAAATTAACATAACTAAAAGAAAGAAGAAGAATAGTAACTCTAAGTAAAACATAAATTATATTTTGTAAGTCTTTCTATACCCATCTTGGTAATTAACTTACTAGACTCTGTAAGTGTACATTGCCTTCACTTCAGTGCATCAATGTAGAAAGTTGGTCAGAAAGCTTGTTTCTATTGAACTTCAATGAACTTTATATACTTGTGGATCTACCTGTACTGAACTAAAATTCTGTTGGTTTACTGCTCCCTCATGATAATCACTGGTGGCGAGATTTTGAATTACCACCACCTAATGATAATTACGGCAGTGTGAGATTTGAAAGTGTTGCGGAATTTGAGCTAATTGGATGTATCAGAAGGTGTAATTGTGTGAAGGCTTAAAAATGTG